CATTCATTAGGCAACCGGGTGCACACAGGACTTTGAAATCCTTCATCTGCTGTCAACTGTAATCAAATCTTCCCCAGGCTTCTTGTTTTCCGGATTTACCCAAGGCCCCGTGACTTTTATCAGCAATTTATTTTTCTCCGCAAATGTCGCCTCGTTAGAAGACTCACGAAAAATTCAAAATTAAATTGTTCTGCTGTTTTCTCTCCGGGCCACGGATGCAATCAAAACTTTCTTCCCCTAAACTTTCTTGTCCCTCAGTTTTCAGACTAACAAGGATTTTTATTGGTTGCCTGTCTTATCCTTAGCTCACCCCTTCTGCAGCTGTGTCTAGACACCTTCCTCATCAGTTGCAATTCATTTTTTAGCCTTGGCATTTTGCAGCTTCCCAGACCCTGAGGCTGCAGTTTGGGAGACATTCCCAGAGCCTGTGAGTCATATTGAAAGAAGATAACGCTTTCGTGCAGGGAGGACTGAGCAGGACTGCCCGCTCCACTTCTTCCAGTCCAAGGAAAGAAAGGCTGGACATCCTCAGGCAGAGCTTCCCAGCTTGAGGTCTGTGGTTTTCTCCAGAGTGAACGCCTCTCCTATAAATATCTCTGATGACAACATCTGTATGTGGCTTTGTGTTTCCCTCCACGGCAAACAACAATGCCCATTTTACATGCAAGCATATGGAAATATGCTTGGGAGAAATAGATCCTTTTAAAACAGAAGTAAGTAGGGGAGCCATTGGTTAAGCATCCAACTTCGGCTCAAGTCATTGATCTCACAGTCCGTGAGTTCAAGCCCGGCGTGCAGCTCTGTGCTGACAGCTCAGATCCTGGAGCCTGCATCAGATTCTGTATCTCCCTCTTTCTCTGTCTCTCCTCTGCTCATGAGGTGTCTCTCTCTCTCTTTCCCTCTCAAAAATAAATAAACATCAAAAAATTTTTTTTAAAAATAAAACAGAAGGAAGCTACATTGACTATGAATAAATCAGGAGAAACGAAATTAATATCTTCAAATGTAATACAAAAGCTATTTGCTGAAACTGTATCTGCATTAGGAGCCTCTCATTTATTGTTAAGGCTGGAGACAAAAATCAAATGTCAGTTAGGGAGACGGTACATTGGGGGCAAACCCTGTCTTTCCACGGATGAAAATGCCTTGATCATTCTTTAATGCTAAGATTTTATTTTTTGTAGTTTCCCTCTTTAGTGCCATCCCTTCTTCTAGAAAGTTCTGTGTAATATTCTCGTATTCCACACAGGCACATTTTTTTCGATCATCTGGCTTCCAGTGCAACGCTGTAAGTTCAACAAGGCGGGCTTGGGCAACAAACAGCCCAGGAACATTTTTACTTTTCTCACCTCTCTCCCATCTATATCTCTGTGGATTTCAGTTAGGCGTCATGCTTGAAGAAATAATCAGCCATGACATTTCTCAGCTCTTTCTCACTTCCGTGTGAATTTGACCCAATCGGCTTCTCTCTCTCTCTCTCCCTTAACGGCTTTATTGAGATACAACCGATATGCAAAGAATTGTACATATTGAGCGTGTACATTGGGTGGGTTTGAACAGACACAAATGCCTGTGGTACCGTCACCACAATCGAGGTGGTAGGAATATCCAACAACTCCACACTTTCCCTGGGTCCCCGTGTGTGCACACGAGTGTGTGAGTGCTTGTTTGTGCTAAGAACTATCACCATGAGATCTGCCCTCTTAGCAAATTGTGCGGTGCACAGCTCAGTTGTGAAGCATTCAGTGGATCTCCAGAAGGGATTCATTTAGCGTAACTGAAACGCTATACTCACTGAACAGCAGTCCCCTCAACCCCCAGCCCCGGGAAGCCACTCTTCTACCCTCTGCTTCTATGACCGACAGTTATAGGTGCCTCTGTAAGTGGAGTCGTGCACATTTGTCCTTCTATGACTGACTTAATTCCCTTCACGTGACGTCCCCTGGGTTTATCCATGACAGCGCACATGGCAGGATCTTCTTTATTCACTCATCTATTTTTTAAAAAATATTTTTATTTATTTCTAGGAGAGAGAGAGAGAGAGAGACAGCNGAAAGTCAAGGAGACTTTTGTTATAAAAATTGTAGCTGCAATTCCATAGTCCTCCTGTGTGTTTGGCACCACGATCCAGGTAATCTTCATGAAAACCTTCAGAGATAAATTTTAAATTTATCACTCCCATTTTATATTATTTAAAAAAAATTTTAATGTTTTTACTTATTTCTGAGAGAGAGAGAGAGAGAGACGGCTTGAGCAGGGGAGGGTCAGAGAGAGAGGGAGTCACAGACTGAAATAGACTCCAGGCTCTGAGCTGGCAGTCAGCACAGAGCCCGACGCGGGGCTCGAACCCACGAACCGTGAGATCATGACCTAAGCGAAAGTCGGACGCCTAACCGACTAAGCCACCCAGGCGCCCCTATTCACTCATCTATTGATGCTTGGGTCGTTTTGGTAGGCTCTTGCGAGTGGTGCTACAGCGCGCGTGGCCACGGCCTCCTTCGAGGCATGGTCATCACCAGATAAGCCACACGTGTCACTCTGCTGCTTCCTTTCTCTATGGCAACCGGCAAGGATGCTTCTGCAGCCTGCTTTGTCAGGCGGCCGCAGGCTGTGGGCGGGATGGTGGGAGGGAGACTGCGCGATTGGCAGAAGTTCCCCGGTCCCAAAGCACCCGCTCATGTGCTCAGTATCCAGGCTGAGTGGGAAGGCAGCGCCACCAGCCTGGATAGGAGGCCGCTCTCCCCGCTTGAAGCCTCCCCCTCAAATCAGCTTTAGCCTCCGCGAAGGTGAGCGCTGACCCCCCCCCCTTCCCCCAGTCTCTGTGGTTACCATGGCCCTGTTACGGTGGCCTGAGTTGTTACAGCGACTTCACGTGTCTCAACCTCCCCGCCTCCCACCAGGACTCTCCGTTTATTAACCGATCGTAGTGAACGCTAACAACACACTAAGCAATATTGCTGGTGACTGGGGCTGGGGCAGAAGTGGCCCTTTCCTCCTGGGGCTTTTAGTCCAGTCCGGGAGGCAGATATTAAACAAAAATCGCACAAATTACGCATTCTATGGTATGTGTTTCCATAACAATTACTAAATCATCAATTGTGATTTGCCCTGAGAAGGCGGAGCGCAGGGCGTTTTGACAAGAGTCGGGACAATCGGGAAGAGGTAGAAAGTGCAGGAAAATACAGATGTTCTCCGCTCCTAAGTGCTCACCGGAGCTGCTGAAAGGGCACTAATGATCAAGACTCCTTCTACGCTTGGGTCTGCTCCGTCTGCCACAGGGTTTCACCAGCTCTGCGTTACTGACACGTGAGACTGGACAACCCTTCACTGCCAGCCCTGTCCTGTGCACTATAGGATGTTAACAGCATCTCTGTTCTCTCTAGAGATGCCAGGAGCAATCCTCCCCACCCCCATTTGTGACAGCCAAACACGTCTTCAGGCATTGCCAAATGTCCCTGGGAGGGGGGAGAAGAAGTTCGGAGGACCTGATACGGGAGGACCCCACATGACTCCTGGGGCTCAGCAATCACTACCAGCTCCCGGAATGGGACTGGGAGCCTCTCATCACACAGGAGTGCTCCCGTTACACTCATGCTCCAGACTCCCCGCAGCACAAACCTCAGCTCCTGAGTGGGACCCGTGAGGCCCTTTGTGACCTGACCACACAGCCAGAATCACCGGCTGGGAGTGCCCACACTCACCGGCTCCCCCCTCCAGCCTCCGAAGGGAACTTGGGCTTCTGGGAACCACCCTGCCATGTTCTCTCTCAAGTTGATGTCTCTCCTTCTTCTCTTCCTCTTCCCTCCCTCTTCCTCCTCCTCCTTCCCCTCCTCCCTTCCTCTCCCGCCTCTCTCTGACCTTTCTTCTTCCTGCTCTTTCTCTGGAAGAACTCCTAGGCATAAAGTCTCCACTTTCATACCATCTCATGCATGAAGCCTGCCTGAATCCCTCTCCCCCACCCCCAACGGACTCTGAAACTCTCTCCTAGACTCTCCCTCCTAGACTCTCCCTGGATGCCTTCTGCTGCCCTTCATTGGAGCAATGACCCCATTGCATCCGAATTATTGGCATGTATGTCTGGCCCTCTGCAGACCACAGCCTCTCTGAATGAGAAAGAAGGTTTAAGATGTTGATTAGGTGTTATCCAGCATTTCCAGATATTTTACAGAGGGAGAATTTTCCTCAGGACACTTACTGTAGCTATTTCCTGTCTCCCTCACCAGTACGGGGGGCACACGAGGGCCTAGGCATCATGTCCTCCATGCTTGTAAGTCTAGCAGCTAGGTCGGTTCCTGGTATATAATCCCATCCAGTAAATGTTGCTGAATGAATGAACGAGAAGTAGAAGGAGTTGGTCTGCTCTGGTTTGGCGTGATAATGATGAGAGACTCATATACCCATCACACACTCTCCAATCTGTCTCCACAACCCTCAACTCCCCTGGGGACTAAGGGTGAGATACTCTAGTTCCGTACGTGAGTCCGAGGCTACGATTTTATGATTTCTTCCAAGGCCACCAGGATTTTTTTTAATGTTTATTTCTTTATTTGGAGAGCGAGCAAGCAGGGGAAGGGCAGAGAGAGAATCCCAAGTAGAGAATTCTTGAGTTGAAATCAAGAGACAGACGCTTAGCCCACTGAGCCATTCAGGTGGCCCAAGGCCGCCTGGATTTTACCATATACCCCAACCGCATATTACTTTATCTAAATGAATATGCCGCAGAAGTGTGTGGACAGAGCCACTCCATCACTGCTCGGTTCTAACCACAGTGGAACGGGCTTCCTTCACGTCAGGCCTCTGGCCTTTGCTCATCTCTGCTCCGAAGAACCTCTTCCTCTGCCGCCTTCAAAGGTGAGGGCATGTTAAAATGCCACCTGCCCCGGAGACTCATCCCGCCCAAATCCCCGGAGCGTTGCTATGGGGACGGCCTTCGGCTATGCGCCTCCAGAGGCCGGGACGCTGCACACGCATGTGCACACTGAGCCCTTTGCCTTTTCCAGGAGAGGCTCTCGAGTGTTCCGACGCCTGGGAGTCCGAGCAGCCAAGGGCAGCCTCCTCCTCCAGCCACGCTGTGTCTCGGGCTCCGCTGGAGCACTCCCACGACTGGGCCCTTCAGTCTCAAGGGACGGCTTCCGGACATTTCCCGGGGAACATTCTGGATCATGCCAGTGAGTTCGTTTTTTGTTTTCTTTCTTTCTTCTTCTTTTTTTTTTAATCTTTGCCACACCCAAAGAATTCTTCCTTACAGGGCCAGGGGATGACTTAGGGATGACTAAGGTGCACTTGGGAAGGTTCAGGCCCTGCAAGGAGGGGGGACCGGGGCGCCGCAGCGCAGAGGAGGTGCCTTCGTTCTGAGCATCCTCTTAGAGACACCGGAAGGACTGGATTTGCAGCGTTTAATTATTTTCTAAAAACCCTGAAGACATTTGGCAAAATGTTAAGCTTTGCTAAAGCTGGGTAGGATGTACCCAGGTGTCTGGTATTTTATTCTCCATACTTAGGTGTGTAGTTGACATACAAGAAGAAAAGAAAGAAAAAAAGCGGGGGGAAGTCCTTTAATGCAATGCCTCTGGCCCAGACAAGTCAAAAGATATAAAGCTATTGGTGTTTCCTGTCAGGAGCAAATCTGAGATAAATTCAACAAGCATGGTCTTCAAGCTCCAGGTTGCCCACATCGGATTCATCATGTTTGCGCCCGGTGTTGCAGCAAGGCTGTGCCCTCAGCTTGCCAAGGTTCAAAGCCCAGCCCCCACTTGTGAGCTGTAACTCGGAAGCGGTGCACCGAGCTCTCAACACAGTATTTTCATCTGTAAATGGAGAGAGCTAGATCCTACCTCGTAATGACTAAAATAAGCACTTAGCATCACATGTCATGTAGATAAGTACTCAAAATATATGTGAGATTATGGTTACATAAGACGGAGGTTCAACAGAAGTAACTTCTCTTTGTCTTCACAAAACCGTGAACATTCACTTCACTGACCGTCCTCACTTTCCCAGAGACGCGTATGCGTCACTCCACTTTGTTCCCAGATCAGCTCCTAGGGGAGTGTTAAAGGCTCTTGGACTTCCCCTCCAGGTCGCTGGGATGACAGAGAAAAGCAGCTTTTACTGGTTAGACGGTGGCTGGGGCATCCCAGCCTCCTCCTCCAGGGATCCCACCCTTTTTTATGGGGAGGAGCTGGTTAAACTGACCCTTTTTGTGTGTGTTCATCTGGCCATCAGGGCTCCGCTCTCTCGTGCCCTTCTCCTCCACTGCTGTTGCATGTTTATTTCTGCGTCTTGTCCAGCAGGCTGTGGGCTCCTTGGGGATGGGCAGTGTGTCTGAGTCATCTGGGGATGCCAACCCGCCCAAGTGGCACGTGGCACAGAGCAAGTGGCCCACTGGACCAATTAGGTGTGCTGTCTCCATTTTAGAGATAAGAATGCTCAAGTTGAGGCGGGTCAAGTAGGCCTTTGTACATGTTCTTTGCTGTGTCTGGAATGTGTCTCCCACCTGCCATTCCTGGAAGACTCCTACTCCTTCAAGGCCCAAGTCAAAGAACACCTCTGTGGGGCCTTGTCTGCCCCCTTCTGGCTGGGGGAGGTGACACATCCCAGTGATTCCCTAGCGCCCTGACTATATCTCTTTGGAAACTATCTTCCTCTTCTTCACCTGGCTATGAAGCCCTGGGCGGACAAGATCTCCATCCGATTCTATTTGATCTCCTTTGCACGTAGGCTGTGAGTGTGCAGCCCAGGCGATGTTCTACCAGCTTCGGATGTAGGCGTGCCTGACATCATCTGTCAGGATATTCTGAGCTCCGGTGGATGGAAACCCATCTCAAGATGGATTAATCAGTAACACGATTTATTGGTTCATTAATGAAAATTCCAGGCATAGATTTCAGATTCCTGTCAATCTCTTTTTTTCTTGTCTCTTGTCTTCTGTGTGAGCTTTACTCTTTTAAAGAGTAAGTCTTTACTCTTTAAGAGCCATCTTGGCTCTTGGTGGCTTTGTGCCTGCAACTTCCCAGATTCCAGTCCAGCGGAAAGAGAGGAGAGCCTTCTCAAGTTATAATAAGAGGCCAGGTTTCATTGGTTCTGGAAGGGTCACATGTACATGACAAAAGCAATCACTTTGTCCATAAGTCTGAGAAGCTTCAAATGGCTGGGAGCCCATCCAATGCTGGGAGTGAACTCAGTCTCCAGGTGAACCAGGCACTGAGAAGGGAGAGGTGCCTCCCGAGAAAAATATGGGCACTGCTACCAAAGAGCTTCAGGTAGATGCTGACTGTCCTCAAGGAGTTTGCAATTTAGTGGGGGAATCTAGAGGAAGAAAACAGCAATTTTTGAAAAGTTTTATTTATTGAGAGAGAGAGAGAATCTCAAGTGGGCTCCCCACTGGCAGCTCCGAAACGGACGCGGGGCTCCAACTCATAATCCATGAGATCATGACCTGAGCTGAAATCAAGAGTCAGACGCTCAACTGACCTAGCCACCCAGGTGCCCCAGAAGACAGCAATTTTAATTCAGTATGAAAACGCTGCTGATGGAAATGCCTGAAGGATAATGGGGGTGCAGAGAGGGAGCAGCTAAGGGCCACAGGGGAGTTGAAGGAATCAAGGCGGGCCTCCTGAAGGAAGTTACACTTGAGCTAAGCCAAACTAGACACTAAGTAAGCGGTTACTGATGGAATGAACCAGCGCACACCTTGTACCAAATCACACAATTGTATCTTCATAGAACGGGAATTTAAACCAGGCTGTGTTCCTTATTCAAAGTCTAACGGTTTTAGCAGTTTGTCAAGCTGAACTTGTTTCTGTGAGGAAATGTTTTCCAAATTCCACGTCAAATCAGAGTCAGCTAAATACAAACACACTTGAGAAGGATGGCTGAGTGTTCAGCTGAGCCCACAATAACTTATTTAATTCACAGTATACATGAAAAAACTGTACATTTGGGGTACCATCATTCACAACGGCTATATTCCACATTGCCAATCTTCAGTATTCCACCCACATTGTGGACTAAGTAGGCTTTGTTAGCTGACTGGATCTTCATTCATAGCATAAATAGCAAAAATAAATACATTCCCGGCACAAAGTCATTCCAAGTTTTAAACAACTGTTGCAAAATTGAGCTTTTGAAGCATTTGGGCAGAAATTAAGTTAAAGCCTATTTATCCTTTGCATCGGATCTTTATGTGATCATCCATCAACCAGCGCTGATTCCTTCCAGGTGATTGGAGTAATATTCAAGTTCATGACTGATTTAACTCCTATGATTAGAACTGAAGGACTCGTCATCATCTCCATGATGGCTCTACAACACCGAAATATTTTACTGATTGCAGAGTTGTGCAGGGACAAATAGTTCATAATATATATGTTCTCTTTTCTGACCTTTGGAGACTCCCAGGATGCAAAGCGGCAATCCTCCATCCCTGCCCCATTTCAGGAAAACACTCTGTTCTGCCTAGACGTGGTTTGGAAATCTTGGCTCTGGCGCCTCAGAGCTGTGTGACCTTGAACGAACTTCATCATCTCTCAGTCTTAGTCTTCTCACGTGTGGAGTGAGGACAATGGTTCCTACCTTACGGGTCGGTTGTGTTGATTCAGTGAACTGAGGTATGAAAGCTTTGTGAATCAGGCTCTGTGCAAATTTTAGGCATCACCATCGTCATCATCGGAATTAGATTTCTGACATTAGCATCCATTCTACCGAGTGGTCCCCCAGCATTACAGTAAAAAGCAAGCCCCAGACTGTTTATGTACTAGAATCATTTTGTCATGACAGAAACAATGTATTCTTTGCTGAAATTACCTAATGAATAGACCTGTACCATTTTTGATAATTTTATCTTGTTACTTAGGGCAAGTTGCTGGAGATGACATGCATTTGAAAACTGTGCTGTTGTTTTGGTATCTGTGTTGTGGTGGTGGTGGTGGGTTTTGGGGGGGGGTGTTGGTGTATAACAAAGAAACTTTAGTACAATTTTGTTGTACAAAGATTATCAGCAACGGTTTCTAATTGACTTATTTTTACTTTTCCTATTAGAAACCCGTTTGTGGAGAGAGGGCTCCTTTCAAGCAATTCTGCTGGCTGCGTGCGTAATCATTTGTGCATGTGCAAGGTAATTCAGATTTTATTTGCATGCAGTGGTGTTCCATAATTAATGAAGCTGTAATTGATTGATAATTTCCTTGCCTTATTCCACAGTGCATTTTCGGTAGCTCTGTGGTTAAGATTTGTTCATTTGCCTGTGTCCCTTAAGTGCCCCCTTTTCTATTACTTCCTTCCTCTCATTATCTCACAAAGCATACAAAAGCCGGTGGATCTTGCTAGAAATTGGAATTTATTATGTTTCATCCTTCGTTTACATCCTCAGTGGCTCCCTGTTACAGATACAAACTAGGCAACCCCGCTTGGAGTTCAAGGGCACTTGGAGTCCCCACCGGGACTCCATCTTTCTCCTTATGTTTTTATATCTTGACATAAAGAGTTTCTTCCTGGGAAGTCCACCCAGCTCCTCAGATCACGTGATGCTTTTGCCCGATGATAGGTGTGTTTCTGCCCTACCCTGTGTCCTGCACTCCCCTCCTATTCTTTTCTTGCCCAAGTCTACAGGGCAACGGTCACGCCCGTTTTGGGCTAAGTGCAATCGCGCCTCAGGGCCTTTGCACTTGCTGTTTATTCTGCCTCGTACAGTCTTTTCTAGAAAGCCTCATACCGTGTGTTCCTTACTTCTTTCTGGAGTCTGTTCAAATGCCACGTCATCAGGGAGATCTTCCCTGACAGCACCGAGTAAATGGCATCCCACTCTCTACCACATATACACCTCGCTTTACCTTTCTTCCAAGCACTGATCACCACCTGACCTATCATATGTTCATCTGTTGAAATGTTAATGATCACTCTCTTCCCACAAGGCTCTGAGCTGCCTGAGAGCAGAGACATTCTGCATCCCCTTCACTTCTGTATCCCTCAGTGCCAGGGGATCATTGATACTGTTTCGTCAGTGAGAAAGGGATAAATGGTCCAGGCCTGGGGCTTCCGTGCTGCGTGTGCTCCGGGCAGCAAATGCCGCTTGCTCTCACACCCTGCCTCCTGAGGGCCAGATACCTCACATCACTTGGGAGAGTTGTGTTTTTACATACCAAGTCCTACATCCCAATCCTTGTGATAGGGATTTAGATCTAGTGAGAATCTGTATTTTAAAATAAGGGTCCCAGATAATTTATGAGGCTGAAGAAGTAGTAAGTCGTTTTAGATCACAGTGGGACCAAAAGAACAAAAAAATGAGGGAGATCCTGTGCTGAAAATAAATTTGTAGGATTCTGCATTGTGTGTCCCAAGTCAAAGGATCATATGTGCATCAGCATCATAAAGGCCAGTGAAATGAAAGCATGAAGAAAACTGATTGGCTTTATCTAACTTTGCATTTCCCAACCGCGGTGCATCATGGGACCTTTTATGTTATTCACGGAACTATTAGTGAAATGTACCTCTTTGGTTAATTCCTGTAGATACTTCCTCTCCCCTCCCCCTCCCCGCACTCCTCCAGCCTCTTAAGAAGGAAGCTGGACAACCTGTCCCTTGAGTGTGAGCACTTAGAAACTGGCTTCCAAAAAATAGAGCCTGGAAAGAGGGGAAAGAGGAAATTTGGAAGACCTTGGAAATGTGCCCTCAGATGGTCAAGGTTAACACCAACAGGAATAAACTATGTGGATAGCACGTACCCTTGATACGAGGTGATGAGAATGGCACTTGACCCCTGTGGTCTTCTGGACCCCGGTCTAGCCGGAGGAAAACTCAAACTGAGGGACATTCTACACATTTTCTGGCCAGGACTCCTCAACCCGTCAAGGTCACCAAAACAAGGTGAGTCTGAGAAGCTGTCATAGCCCAGAGGAACCCAAGGAGATATGACTAAATGTCTGAGGTATCCTACATGGCATTGTGGGACATGGGTAAATTAGGGAAAAACCGGAAAGTACAAATGGCATGTGGAGTTAATAGTGAGGCAGCAATGTTGGTCCCTTAATCATGACAATGTGCCAACGTAGTGTAAGATGCTGATAATCCAGGGGCACCTGGGTGGCTCAGTCAGTTAAGCATCTGACTTCCACTCAGCATGATCTCACAGCGCGTGGGTTCGAGCCCTGCATGGGGCTCAGAGCCTGGAGCCTGCTTCAGATTCTGTGTCTCCCTCTCTTTCTGCCCCTCCCCTGCTCACGCTCTGTCTCTCTCCCTCTCTCAGAAACGAGTAAACTTAAAAAAAAATTTTTTTAATTGGGAAAGCTTGGTGAAAGGTATATGAGAACCCTTTGTACTATTTTTGCAACTCTTCTGTATATCTAAAGTTATTTGAAAAATGGAAAGCTTATTTAAGAGATTGGTTAAGAGAAGAATTATTGACATGGGCAACAGCATGGACGAGTTTCAGACATAGAGTGTATCATTGCAGATACCTACAAAATTCAAGGAAAGGCAAAATGAATCTATTATTATAGATAAAAGAATAGTGGTTAATTCTGGGGAAAAGAGTAGGAAGGATGGCAAAAGAAAGAGACTGCTAGAAATAATCCTATATCTTGATCTGAGCGGCGAATGCAGTTTAGGTTTAAAAAAAAAAAACAAGATGTGCACTTTAAAGGCTTTACTGTACATTTGTCAAATCTCAATATAAACAAACTTTTAAAATGCATATAAAGAGATGTCGAAAAGGGTGTTCATCAAAATTTAATAAAGGCTGCTTTAGGCCAATGGAGTTTTTTGATGATATTTCCCTTTCCCTTTGTATGTATTTATGATTTCTTACAGTGATTCATGTTTTGAAAACAACAGTAAAGACATTATTCTGTTTTAAAAAAAAAAAATCCACTCTGTGAAACAATACTCATCAGATTGGTGAAAACCTGACATTTTAACACACTTTTTTGGGTAAGGTTGTAAAGCAGTTGGCATGTGGATTTTCTCCTTTGTTTTATCAATATGTTTGGTACTTCTGTGGTTACATTTCAGACTATGACTCGTTTTGAGTTAAAGAGTTAAATTTTGTGTTCGGCTGGATGTATATGTAGAGGCTCATTCTTTTGCACGTGGACGTATTGTTTCAACAGCATTGTTGGGAAGACTATCCTTTTTCCATGAAATTTCTTTTGCCCCTTTGTTAAGACTCACTTAACTACATTTGCATGGGTTCTTTTCTGGTCTCTCCATTGTCTTATTGACCTATATGTCTATCATTTGGCCATTAGTACACTATCTCTATTACTGTAGCTTTTTAAAAATGTTAGTGTTGATTTATATTGGAGAGAGAGAGAGAGAGAGAGAGAAAGTGTGAGCTGGGAGGGACAGAGATTTGGAGACAGAATCTGAAGCACGTTTCAGGCTCCGAGCTGTCAGCACAGAGCCCAATGCGGGGCTCGAACCCATGAACCATGAGATCAGGACCTGAGCTGAAGTCGGATGCTTAACCCACTGAGCCAGCCGGGGGCCCCTTTGTCACCGTAGTTTTACAGTAAATCTTAAAATCATGAGACTTTAGTTAGTCTAAAGCTTTAGTTGGCTCATGTGTTGGAAATGCATAATTAGTTTACGAAACCTGAAAAGTCCTGTTGTTTCAGATGTTTTCTGGGAGGAGGATTAGCCAGTGTCCTCACATGCCCGTTGATGATAACTATTGCCTGTAAGTAACAATTTCTCAAATGATTCCCCTGATCCCTTCCCTGTATTTCATTCCAATTTTGGTCGTTTTGAAGTAATTCTTAAATATTTTCTCTTTCTTATCCAAGATGCTGTCAAGTCACTGTTTCTCAATCTTGCCAACTATTTCAAAGCCACCACCTGTGCTCAGTAAGTGTTGACTGTGTTATCATCACCCTGACAAAGATGAGTACAATCTGCTGTCTGAGAATGTTTTTTTGCTGAGTAATGGATGGCAGTGACCACATACAGGAAAGGTCCCGATCATTTGTCTTGAAGAATACTTTCTGTTAATGCTAAAACCTAATAGCTTTCTCATCCCATCTCTAAAGCTTTTACAAATTCTTCAAAATTGATAAAATTAAGCTTCGAGGCAGTAGGACTTAACAAATATCATGGATTTAAAACATTTAAGTCTCCTGTGAAAGTGTTTTTATAGATTCATAGCACTGTGCTTTATAAATATCTCCTATTAAGAAGCCTTTATCTTATAGTTTCCCAAAGAGCTGGCCAACTGCCCATGAAATGGTCTCAGTTACAAAATGTGATTTCTCTGCCATCTCTCACTCACTTAACGGTACCCCTGTGTGCTGACAGCCATGGCTCATCATATTTCAAAGGGCTATTGGGGTCTGGGTGAGAGGCTCACGGAATTTCAAATAGTCTGGAAAACCCCATCCCACTGCATGATGGACTGTGTTAATTACCTTTTCTTCAATATGGCTGCCAGAGGCCAATTCCCACAGCTTGGAGACAGAGCTCTATAATTCAAACTGGTTTACTGGCCTTTGCTCCTGACACCGTGTCGCCCTATTTACGAAATCATTGTGTTAATTCTGAAATCACAATGGGACTTAGTGAAGATTTATGTTGTTTAGGACTCCAGCCAGTATTGATTTCATGGCAGTCTGAGTGATGTTTCTCTTCCTTTCAGGTTTCTGGGGGCAGATTTTGATATAGCTAAGATTGGTTTAGCCTCATAGTTAGAAAATTGGGTCCTGAGGTCTCCCAAGATACCCTTATTTGTTAGCCCTTGTGTATTAATGACATTTATTCAAAAGTCCTCTAAGACACTCATTTCCTTCCCCCTGGCTGCCGGTCACTCTCTGTGTCCGCAGAACTCACAAGTATACCTCGCCCAGCATTAATGGCACATTTGCACTCATGTTCAGCTTTCCGGGCTGAGATGTCACACTCTTCAGGACTGGGCTAACCAACAATGTCTCAACAAAAGACTTTCACCCAAAGAGCCACTTTATAACTCAGCTTCCAGCTATCACTGCTTGTCAGATGGTGTGAATTAAGTCCCTTCACTTGGGGTTTTAAGAAGAACTCGTGCAATTAATCAGAAGGACCAGCCTCACCTTCTCAAGAACTCTGTATGAGAGCAGAGTTTCTTGAAGCATGGCATGGGGGCATCTGTTCTAGAACCAACTGGGAGCTTCTACCCTATTCCAGCTCTTGTGAATCCAAATGTCTGAGGGGGTCTTCATTTTTAACAACCCGTCTATGTAATTCCTTGAGCATCAACCGTGAGAGCCCTGGAAAGATGGTTTGTAAATTCTTCACCTCTTGATTTCTAACGTGGCATCACATAACCTTACTAAATCTCTGTTGAGAACTTACGGTATGTTCTGTGCTGCACTGCATGTCTAGTTCTGCCTGGCAGACATTTTTGGAGTCCCTCCCACGGGTCAGACACTTCCTTAGGTGCCAAGGTTGCCATGCCAAGGCCTCAGGATTCCAGAGTCTAAGGAGACATGTAAAGGGCAAGGTGGAGTCGCATTTAATATGGTTAAGTGCAAGTACAGAGTTAGCACAGAGGCTAGGGGCACGCCAGGAGAGAGACTGTGCCAGACTAGGAGGGAATGGGGGGAGCGGGGAGGGAAGGCTTCCTGGAAGGCCAGTGTCTGACCTGCAGGGGGTAGTATCACCTGTTGCTTTCAGGGCACCTCCTACTCTCCTAAAAGGAATTATATCAGGATTAGGATGATATTTCTATCCTACACACTCTCATCTATAGCTTCAATAAGATCCCTCCTTTGGTTAATTGTGTACGTACTTTAACTTGTTCTTCCCTTCTTCCTGCTCCATTTTTTTTTTTCCTGTTTGCTGCCCCCTCCCCTGCCTCCTGTACACATACTGTTGCATTTCAGACCTGTGAAAACAAGGACCATCGACTTCATTTTTGTATCCATCTCAATTTCTTGAGAATAGCACATACCTCGGGGGTGCCTGGGAGGCTCAGTCGGTTAAGCATCCCACTTCAGCTCAGGTCATGACTTCATGGTTTGTGAGTTCAAGCCCCGCGTCTGACTCTGTGCTGACAGCCCTGGGCCTGGAGCCTGCTTCAGATTCTCCCTCTCTCTCTTCCCCTACCCCACTTATGCTCTCTCAGTCTCTCTCTCTCAAAAATAAACATAAAAAAAGGGAATAGTAGACACACCATAAATATTCATTCAATTGAATGTATTTGCCATACCATTTCTTAAAGTACTTCCTTTATATCCAAGAGTTCTAAAATATTAAAGGTTTTGCAACCCTTTCCTTCATACATAAACATATCCAGAAGCTAATAAGCCAGAGACATGGTGATTAATATCGAGAGTCAAGGATGACTCATAAGGCTCCTCCGACAATCAAGGATGAAAATCTAAGGGGGTGGATGGCAAGCACTTAATTCAGCCCAACAGACACTAGTGGACCAGCCCTCCCATGCCTGACTGGCACCGTGCGTGATAGGTTAGATTAGGGTCCTATCCTTTCACACTTCGTAGGTCTCAGATCACGCCTTTTTCTTCCCATAAGCCAATTTTCATTCAACCAGCTTCTTTGTTAAATTTCAAGCCTGTGCATTTGGGGCCTGTCTGTATTGTTCCCCAGTGGCCCAAGGGTCCCTTCCAAATGAAGGTCATCATAGTTGTCCCATGTTGCCAATAATGTGTTAGCATCAGCAGGGTTCATTTTGCACGTTTATGACATCAGAGGAACAACATGGGCAACCTCTGTTCTCTCTACTCCTTCCTGTTGGAACGTGTGTTTACATAGCTGGCGAATGAATGAATGAACAGTGGGGAAAACTCACTTGATATCCTAAGAGGATTTCTGTTTTAGAGGAAGTGGTGCAGGTGGGGAAAGAAAACAATATAAAACGGTTGTTAACTGACCACCAAGCTGGGATAAAAATAAAAGTTACTCCAAGTTGAGGCTCTACTCTTCCTAGTTATGATTACTCAAGCTAGTGTGTGTGTGCACGCGCACATGCGGTGATTAGTTACCGCGTTTCCTGTCTATCTGGATGAATCATCTATTTCTTTTCTCTTTTCTCGGCTCTAGGTTTGCCAAAGTTTGACAGCCATTTAGGAGTGTCGTCTCTGATGAATGACTTCTGTCTGAAGATCCAGAAATTGTCTGATTCACCGTCTGTTTGGAGTCAACTGCTTTATTGGAAGGGACTGAGCAACTGCTTAATCGAGAAAAAATCACATTTTAATTTGGTTATGTTTCTTTTCTAAAGATCTCATTTTTGCTCTCATAATTGTAATCTGCTCAGGAAAATAACATTAATTCGTCTTTCCTATGCAAACACTGGCAGTTGAAAGGGACAGGCTGGGAAATGTGATGGAGAACCAACCACATGGGTAGTGGTGCCCTCATATTTCCTGAAGCATTGTTTTCTTACGTTCATTTTCATCTAGAGGATTCTCTGAGGTGCTTTTAACAATGCAGATTCCTGGGCCTGCCTACAAACACCTATCCCTTGTTGAACTGCTTAATCAATACCAGCTTGAAAGTAAATATGGAGCGTCCGGGGGGCTCAGTCCGTTTAGAGTCTGACTTCAGCTCAGGTCGTGATCTTGCAGTCTGAGAGTTCAAGCCCCTCGTCAAGCTCTGTGCTGATAGCTCGGGGCCTGGAGCCTGCCTCAGATTCTGTGTGTCCGTCTCTCTCTGCCCCTCCTCTGCTCACTCGCTCTCACTTGCTCTCTCTTTCTCTCTCAAAAATTAAATAAATAAATAAATAAATAAGAAAGTAAATAAACTGCAGTTTGCACATAAAATACAGTGACGGAAGATTCATCGTTCTGCCCGAGGAGTCTCCTGATGGGAGTTGGTGACGACACACGAGGGTTCATGGGAAACGGGCAGGAGAGAGCCTTTCTTCGGGAAAGCACATTCGACTTTTGAACCATTTTCTTTGCCAAGTTTTCAGCCTTCTTGGGGCTCATGATTACCTTTCACTTGTGCGCAATGAAAGACAGAAGAGAAGAAAATCTTTAAGAACAAAAAAAAAAGGCCAAACACCTGAGTGCCTTGAAATGGATAAAAATGGTGCAATTTTATAGCCGGCGGAAGAATAGTTAGTAGAAGACTCTCCCGGTTCTTGCTCTCACTTGGTGTATGTTCTCAAAGCACACGTGGCCTGCAGTTCAGACGTGTTCTGTATGATGTTCTCCAGCTAGACGCTTGGGTGGAGAAACCAGTCTCGCTTAAAATGGTAGTATCCAGGGGCGCCTGGGTGGCTTAGTCGGTTAAGCGTCCGACTTTCGCTTAGGTCATGATCTCGCGGTTCGTGGGTTCGGGCCCTGCGTCGGGCTCTGTGCTGACTGCCAGCTCAGAGCCTGGAGCCTGTTTCTGAGTCTGTGACTCCCTCTCTCTCTGACCCTCCCCTGCTCACGCTGTCTCTCTCTCTCTCTCCTAGAAATAAATAAAAAACATTTAAAAAATTTTAAAAAATAAGATAAAATGGTAGTATCCAAATAGCACTCTTTATATCATTTGTATTCAGTGAACTTGGGTTGAAAACAGTACTATACTAATAAATAAGTGAAATCATTGGCAAATTCTATCCATGTGTCTGTCATCTATCTATCTATCTATGTATCTACCATAAGATCAATCATGGAGGAAAGTCATTCATTGATCACTGTTGCTTTGCTATGGCTGCCGTAACAAATTGCCACAAACGGGTAGCTTAAAATGACACAGGTGTATTGTTTACGTCTCTGGAGGCAGAAATCAAGGTGCTGGCAGCAAGCACTGTTTTCTTTCCAGGGGCCTCAGGGAATCTGCTTCCTCGCTGTTTTCAGCTTGTACTGGCTGCCTCTGCCCCGGGGCAGGTGACTCTTTCCTCCAGCTCCAGGGAGGGGTCCTTGGAGCTTTGCTTCTGGGGTCCCACCACCTTCTTTTCTGCTGTGAAGTCTCCCTCCCCCTCTCTCTTAAAAGGACAGGCGCACTTGTCTGTAACTATGACTTCCCCCGGAACATCGAAGAATGTGGGCACGGAATTGGGGGCATGGGAAGAGCAGGGAGGCCTGGCATGGCAGTTACCCTTTTACCACCAGAAATGACTGGAAGGTCGCTGGCGAACCAATTAATATGCTGGAAAGAGCCCATCAGAGTATCCCAGAGGATCCCGTGGCAATGGCCAAGAGATACAAGGCAAATAGATGGAAAAAAGAAACAGAAAGAGAAAAACTGGGGAAACCCCAAGAAATTGTATCATTAATGTCTATGCCGAAAAGTGATACCCGCCTACTTACAGGAGATTTCAAGATTTTCTGCGGATATACTGTTTAGGATATGCGGACCATATTGGAAACATGCTGGTAATGCAAAGAGACTTGACTGATTCTTAAAATAATAATGTTTAGAGATACAGAATTCAATATTTTCTACTTTAGTAAAATCAAAAGTATCTTTCTTTTTTTTAAAGGACACTTGTGCTTACATTTAAGTCCCACTCTGATAATCAAGGGTGATCTCCTCATCGAAAAAGTCTTAACATAATCCCAGCTGCGAGTCTCTCTTGTTCTAGAAGGTAATATTCATAGGTTCCAGTGATTAGGATCTAGATGTCTTTAGGGGCCGTTATTCAGTCTGCCACTGTCTTCAGCTTGGGACAGATTTGCACAATGATTTAGTAGACCTGGGATGCGACCCATACATTTGTCGTTGTAACAAGTGGGCCAGCTGATGAGAAGAAGGAGGTTCTCAAATTACATTCATGGTGTGCTTTGAAGGAGGATTTAATGGGGAAATAATAGTACAGAGAGCCTATTTTTTTTTAATGTTTATTTTTGAGAGAGAGTGTGAGCAGGGGAGGGGCAGAGAGAGAGGGATACACAGAATCAAAAGCAAGGTCCAGGCTCTGAGCTGTCAGTGCAAAGCCCGACACGGGGGCTCGAACTCACAAACTTCGAGATCATGACCTGAGCCGGGGTCGGACCTTAACCTACCGAGCACCCAGGTGCCCCCAGAGCCTATTGTTTTGATGCTCTATCAGGAAAGGACACTTTGTGAATTGCTTATGTTGCTTGTGTCTCTGTGTTGGGCACAGTTTTATCGAGGGTCACTGCATTTCCATAATAATACCTTTCAAAGTTAGATGCAGAAATAAAAATAATTGTTTACAAGTATGTCAAACTTGGACTTGTGTTCCCGACCTTTCCTCCCCAATTATACAAGCTTCCTGTCACTGCAGTAACACATTGCCACGGACTTGATGACCTGAGACAAAATAAATATATTATCTTAAAGTTCTGAAGGTCTGCGGCCCCCAAAATGAAATTTAGGAGTGTACAATCAAGACATCAGCAGGCGGCATTCCTTCTAGAAGCTCCAGAGAAGACCCCATTTCCTTGCTTTCTCAGACTCTGGAGGCTGCCTCCATTCCCTGACCCTCGGGCCCTACCTCCTTCTTCAAAACACATCCCTCTGCTTCCGCTGTCACATTCCCTTTTCAGACATTTGCCCTCTTATCTCTTTCTGATGAGGATTTTTGTGATTATATCGGGCCCATCCTGATAATCCAGGACAGTCTCTCTCTTTTAAGATCCTTAACTTAGTCCCATCTGCAAAGCCCCTTGGCCATGAAAGCAACATTCTCAGATTCAGAATGCGGTTTCTACTGAATACATATCACTTCCGCATTGTGAAGTTAAAAAATTGTAAGACAAACCATTGTTAAGTGAGGGACCATCTGTATATATATCTATAGATATCTACACATAGATCTGTGAAGACCTACATCTATCTATCTATGTATCTATCAATCTATTTATCTGTCTATCCATCTATCCATCCATCCATCCATTATACACCCTGTTCTATTTCTCTGGATACCCCAATTAATTCAGCAGGAATAATACCCACCATTTTATAGTAAGCTTAGAGAGGTTCAATAACCTTCCCAAGCACAAAGGGGGCAAGTAGGGGGTCTAGGAGTCCCACCCAGGCCCATGTGAACCCTCAGCCCTTGCCCTGCTGGTTACTGATTGCTGCTGGAAAGATTATGAAGAATGGCCTGGCACCCTGGAGGTCAAATATTGCCCTAGTCACTCTCTCCAAAAATACTAACTCAGGAAAACATTTCCCGTGAGGCAAAAGGTTAAATGGAAAGAGCCAAACTGACCCTTTACCTTCTTCCTTGTACCTCAAGATTCTCAAATCTCAGAGATATGACATGAATGAGACACCACAGGAGAGAGAAGTCACCCAGTGCTGTCCCATCTGCTGGAGGACCTCTGCTTATGTAGGCTTCTATAGCTATACCCAGCTCATGGGAAGGTCTGCCATTTTGATGGAACATCTACCACGTGCTAGATGTTGTATCTGCCTTATCTATAATCCCTACCACGGTTCTGCCAAGGGTTGTTTCATTTTGTAGCTGCCATGACCAGCAAACACATAATGACCGATGTGGGCCAGGCAGCTCTCCGTTTTCTTTTAACCATGCCATTGGCTTCCAAGCCTGCCTACCTAATTGGCTTAGACTGGGAAGCAACATATCCCTTCCCTTACACACCACAAGTGAAGGTGAGAGTTACACAAGTATGGGGGGCAGGAGGGCTGGGAAAGGTAGGGGAACATGTGGATGCTTGGTGAGCTCTATCAGACCCCACCATAGCCAAGGTTAAAGATGAGGAAGGTGGATCTCAGAATGCAAGCCTCATGCTGTCCCACAACTCATAATCAGTGAAGCCCGGATTCCACTCAGGTCATTGAGCCTCCAGTGTCATTTCCCCTCAGTGCTTCTCCAAGCAAAATCGGTGGTTACTTCAAAACAACTCAGATGCAAAATGGTCTGCCTGGGTCGCAGGAGATGCCAACCACCCCCTGTCCACCCCAAAAGGAATCCCACTATTGCTCATGCAATGCCGCAGAGCAGACACCTGCTACCTTGGCATACTTCGCATCGATGCCACATTTTCCTACCAGGCCTTGATGAAGGTCTGATTGTGTATTTAAAAAAAAAAATACCTATCCCACTGTGATGGCTGTGTCCTCTCCATCTGTCCCATGCTGGGTGAAATGGGCTACAGCTGCAAGCGACACCTGCCAGGGAGCCTGGGGTGCCTCTGGGGTGGGGGGCAATTTAGCAGGTGGATACTAAAAGCTGGCAACCACTTTG